AACAACGCGGTGCAGTCCGATGACCATGTGATCCACCACAACGCGGCGCAGACCAATGACCACGCGATCCACAACAACGCGGTGCAGTCCGATGACCACGTGATCCACCACAACGCGGCGCAGTCCGATGACCACGTGATCCACAACAAAGGAGCGCAGTCCAATGGGGCACAACGCGGAGATGGAGAACGAGATGCACCTGAGCTTTATCTCCTGAAGGCCCTAGAACCCCCTGAGGACGAGACTTTGGATGATGCGTTGCTCACTTTGACAGAGAACCAAAACCAGCTGCTTGAAGATTTACAAGAAAGGGCCGAGCGACTGAGGTTCATGATTGAGGAAGAAGAGATCCTTGCGGAAGAATGTCGTCGAGCGGGGCAGCAAACTTCCGAGGAGGTGGAGAATGTGCGAGCCTACTTGGACGACATGATGGACGAGGCGAATCGCCTAAGGACCGTGAACCACGCCAAGGCCACCGACGCATGTCTGAAGGCAATGATCACGCACGAGGAGCCGGACTATGAGAAGCTTCTGCAGAACCTAGAGGGTGACTTGGAAGTAGTACATACGGTTCCTCTTGATCAAGTACGAGCGGCCTTGGACAATTGGATGGAAGCACTGGAAAAGGAGGTGAATCAGCTCCTGGAAGGTACATTGAAGCCAATGCCTTTATCCAGGGCAAGGGAGCTCGAGAAAAAGGGGCTCCTCAAGCTGGTACCCTCAAAAGGGGTTTATACCCTCAAACCGCCGTCGGTGAAGGGCAAGAAGGTCAGACGCAAGTTTCGGCTCGTTCTTTGTGGAAACCATGTGGGACGAGATGACGAAGCTTTCAACCTTTATGCAAGTGGAGTCAGTGCTGACACGGTCCGGTTGGCATTAGCTTTTGCGGCTCATCGGCGATGGTCCGGAGGCACCTCAGACGTGACTGGGGCCTTTTTATTGGCGGAGTGGCCAGATCATCTAGCACGTTATGCCATTTTCCCTCCGAAGGTGTTGGTCGAAGCTGGACTAGCACGTGCTGATGAGGCTTGGGAGGTCATTCGGCCTTTATACGGCTTGCGAGAATCACCGGCCATCTGGGCCAAGTGCAGAACAGATAGACTGAGGGAAGCAAAGATTGCCTATCAGGGCCGGACTATCGTACTGAAGCAGTCAGTTGGAGATCCTGAGCTATGGCTTGCTTTCGACGAGGACGAGGTCATGCGGGCGAAGGGCGGCCTTTTAGCCCTTCTCATCACCTACGTTGATGATCTCCTCTATCTGGCGAATAAGTCTCTGATTGCAGCACTGCACTCCTGGGTACAAGAAGCTTGGCCGTGTAGCGAGCTCGAGTGGGCAGACAGCAAGGAGGGCACGAGGTACCTTGGCATGGAAATCCACCAAAGGCCAGACTATGCGTTTGAGTTGTCGCAAGAGGGCTATATCCGCGAGTTGCTAAGAGCCTACGACATGGAGGAGACTTTGTCAACGAAGCTACCCTGCCCGCGCGAATGGCTTGGAGAGGATTCGGAAGAGGAAAACTACACCGTGCAAGAGCTCAAGCAAGGACAGAAGGCGGTTGGGGAACAGTTGTGGTTGATGATGAGGTGCCGCCCTGACTTGCAGTTCCCGGTCGGTTACCTCGCTGCCAAGGTCAGTAAGCAGCCCAATCGGGTTGTACAGATTGCGAAAAGGCTCCTCGCCTACCTCAAGGCAACGGTTTCAATGAAAATGGTGATTGGTGCAACAAGATCTGAGACCGAGATTCCGAACATGGCCGCGTGGAGCGATGCAAGCTTCTCACCACACGGTGAAAAGTCTTATGGGGCTTCAGTGGTAACTATCAATGGTTCGCCGATAGCATGGAAGGCTTCCAAGCAGGCCTTCGTGACGCTTTCCGTGATGGAAGCAGAACTGCTGGAAGCTTCTACGGCGACGCTGCTCATGGAGAACATCGGATGCCTGCTGGACGAGATCTGTGGCAGCCGTGTGGAGCGCAAGCTGTTCGTGGATAATGCTTCGGCAGTGGCGATGCTGGTCGGAGGACCAGGTTCATGGCGAACCCGCCATCTTAAGGTCCGAAGTGCAAGACTACGAGAGCAGGTCGAGGCCCAGGAGTTGGCGGTGAACCATGTGAATGGCACAGCACAGATAGCCGACCTGGCTACCAAAATGCATCCAAAAATGCGCCTATGGGAGTTGCTGTCAATGTGGGGTTTTGAGGGTCTCCCTGGAGATGCGGTCGAAGCCCTTCAATCTAAGGCTACCTATTTGGCATGTTTGGTGCTGGCTATGATGTGTCAACCTTCAGAAGCGAAGGAAGTTTCAGCGGCCCCCATCCAAGTGGCAGGCATGGATGAGCTACTGTTTGTCACCGTGTTGGTTTGTATAGCTACGGTCGCCGTCTGGGAAGCTGCTAAGTGGGCCTTCCAATGCGTGATGAAGGCATGCAAGGAGAGCCCGAAACAAAGAAAGCTCCGCAGACTGCGAGAAGCTGCCAGAGCAGCAGCTGAGGAGGAGGTGGATCGAGCAGTGTCGCATCGATCTATGGAGACGGAGGAGCCCTCGACTCCTCCAACAGCTAGAAGGCCTACTACCCCTCCGCGATCGTCTTCTTCAGTACAAAGGAGCATGGAACCTATGTATCCAACAGGATGCGCCTTTGAAGCATGCCCGTTGGACGCATTTTACAAGACGGACTCCAACAAGTCCAAGCTACATACGGATCCTCGCTGCCACGGACTTCGGAATGCAGGAACAGTGTACAAGGTGGAGTATTGTGCGTATTGCTCCAAGAGTGAACCTTTGTTCGTCAAAAGATCTCGATCTGTTCCAAGAATGAACTTCTAAAGTTCGTAGCTGGTGGAACCAGTGATGCATGACAGAGCTGTGGAGCAGCTTTAATTGCTGGACTGAGATGAGCTGGTGATCCAACGGCGTGGCCACTGGATCAAGGAGGAGTGTTGATGTCTGAACGCTTCTCTACAGAGCCTAATGGGGCTCAAAACCAGCTACCTTGAACTTTTCACGAAGGCTTCGTAAATAAACACCTGTGCAGGAAGCTTTCACTAAGTGTAGTATCTGTCCTTATCAGCGTGACAACTGATATTGCATTCTGTGAAAAAAAGGACCCTCCAAATTCGCTGTGCCATGGCCTTGTTCTGAACGATACAGAGAAGATTAGCATGGCTTCGCATGCACAAGACCAGGCTTTTTCAGGGAGCAGTTCCCAACAGATTTCTTTTTGTAAGTCCTTAAAAAGGTAGGCTATTTGGGGTTAAGGTAGGGTATAGGGAGTCTTAACTTGCAACCCACACTCTTCAAGCGAACAGTGTGTGCTGCAAGGCTTCATTTGGAAATAGTGAATGTAGGTATGCGAGATCAAGTCTGCATCAAAGGAAACCCTAAACCCTAAACCCTCAAGGCCCTAAACCCAATCCTATTTCCCACAGCCTCCCTAAACCCTAAGCCCCAAACCCTAAACCCTAAAACTTCAATCCTCCAACCCCCAAGCAATCCAAAAAAGCAAGTCTTGTGGGGAAGCGCATCACACCGAGGCGAATTAGGCCAACAGCTCAGAAATCACCACTGGCACGAAGGGACTCCAAGATCTCGAGGAGGCACGTCTTACCTCAGACAGAACGGGTTCTCAGGTCCGTAACCTGACACCTTACTTGAAAGATCATGGGACTTAGTAAGTACGCTTATAAGTACCCTAATTGGGGTTATAGCTACAGTAATTACCTTATTTATAGCTCTAGTTACTAAGTCCCATGATCCTTCACGTACTCCTGAAGACGGACAACACTTTCAAAAGTGCACAGCAGGTGCCAGACTCAAGGACGGCGTCTCCGCCACGATTTTCTCTTTTTCTCAGGCTTAGCCACATGCCGGGTGAGGGGTGGGGCAACTTCGAGCTTGTCCCCATGTTTAGGGTTTAGGGTTTAAGGTTTAGGGTTTTGGGATGTACGCAGCGATTTGCGAGTTCGCATTTGGTTCCGCGATGGTCGCAACAGGTGAGAGTCATGCACCATGTTGTAGCCACCCAGCAGTTCAATCGCAATGTATGCTTCAGTAGCCAGTATAATTGTCGCGGCCCATGCTCGGCTTCAGCATTATCCGTGGCAGATTCGACCTGGTGCTTGCGGCTGGTTGGGGTGCAGGCAGGAACACCCTCTCCCACCTAACATGCCCGGGCTAGTGTCTGAGCAGCTTGCTGTGGAGTGTCACGTGCCTGCATAGTCGCTTGCTGCGCCGTCTTGGCAGACATCCTGCACGGATGCCTTTTCCCCGCGTCTTCGGGCGTAGTGAACTGTAGTAGTCTTGGCTTCATGGCATGGGTGAGAGGTTCAGGGTTCTGATGGCATCACTGCTGCCAGGAACCAGCAGGCCGCAACTTGCCAGAGGCCACAAAAACAGTTCGATTTCAGCCGTAAGGAAGCAGATGAGCTGATGGGACGGCTCACATGCACGGCACAACTACCCGGTGCGTCGTTCCCTCAAAAGACGTCTAATACTTTGTACAAACGGTAAAAGGTCCTTCACCCCGAACTCGACATGATCAGCTTCAAGATCTGATTAGAACCCGAAACCTGCATTGGAGACCCGTCATGCAGGGGCCTTCATAATTAGAATCGGGTTTTGGGGTGTGTATATATATATATATTATACTGGAATTATAATAAGGATCCCCTAAAATAGTATAGGTAATTATTGAGGCCCCTATATTAATTCGTCCTGCCCTCCCAAATGACCCCCAAAACGATACTCGCCAGGATGCCCTTGTCCGTACAGCGCCGTGAAGTCAGAGACACCAACGCCGCAAAGTTCCTCCAGCGGTTTCTGGCGTGCGGCGATGTGCGGCGACAAATCTAGTATCACAGAAATTATTTTTTTTGTACAGTTGCTACCGGGCCGTGTAAGATCTCGTATCGTCAGATATTTTGCTTCCACATCATCATGTTATCCATGATAGTTCCATGATGTGTGTACGAGTAACAATGCAAAACTGTAAAAACTGTGCTCCGATTGCTGGTTCGCACATCACACCTGAGCAAGAGTAGTGCGATCACGCGTCAGTCAAAAGATTTCCTGTTTCTTGCAGCGCGACACGGTTACCCCGCATAGTCAAAACCATGACCGGGCCGTGTCCATGTTTTGCAGTGTGTGTGGTACTACTGAAAGCTCTTTCTTTCGGGGCTTTTAGGGTTTAGGGTTTCTTGCCTCAGTGGCAGTTACAAACGCACGCAACTCAGCGGTAGCACAGCTTAAGAAATCTTTGGTTTCGGAATCGAGCTACACGGTCGGCCGACCGAGTGCCAGGATATTCTCAATACCGTTGTAAGACACAAAAGGTACCCTGAACCCGTATACCTTGGCACTGCCGTCTTTCAACGGCCTCCTGGCTTTTCAGATCCCCCAAGTCAAAAAAATGCGGGGCTAAACCCTAAAACATCAAGAAAACACATGCAGGGCCCTGTAAACTCCAGGAGCGAACCCCCTCAAACTTCTTAAAACTGGGGGAGAGGCTCTAATATGGGGCCTTTAATCCTACACTATTTTCGGCGGGTTCCTATGATAGGCCTAGTATCATGCGCCCCAAAACCACATTCTAATCATTTAGGCCCCTATATTATACCCAAATCCTTGTTTAGCCTAAAGGTCGTGCTCAAGTCACACTGTAGTCGTAAAGAGTTCTCAATCATGTGCAGTATTATGATCTGGGACATTTTCAGGTGGGTAGTTACCGTTATAGGAGCCTTACAGAATGTCTATATACCTTATGGAAGCCCTATATACCCTAAACTCCCCACCTGTAGTTTCCTTTGTTCTGAATCCTAACACCCCTGTCAGCGCGTCACTGAAGGGATTGCTGATTCCTGTAACAAAACATTCCCAGAGAGCCCAATACCCCTTAAACAAGGAATCCTTAAATCAAAGGGGCCTGGAGTATTCTGATTTAAGGTGTACTCCTTATTTAAGGGGTCTTGGGCTCTCTGGGTATTGGAGATGCACGCGGCAGCCCCAAGCTAAAGCTTCAAGACCGGAAAAGCCATCTGCACCCCTAAAAATATAGACCCTCTCAATGAGGTCGGTTTAGGGTTTAGGGTTTAGGGTTTAGGGTTAGGTGACTTTCAAAAAGCCAGAAGTAAGGTTAAGAAGGGTCCCCTTAAAGGGGTCTCCTTAATACTACCCAGACAACGAAACTGCTGGCACCCTAAACCCTGAACCCTAAACCCTAAACCCTAAACCGCTGGCATCCAAGGCGCATCTTCGAGATTACTTTGCGGAATTTCTTCACGACGACACGTGGAGCTTCTGTCTCCTCGGCTTAGGGTTTAGGGTTTAGGGTTTAGAAGCCACGCAACCGTGAACGCAGCCGGAACCAGGAATAAGATTGAAATCATGTTCCTGAACCTAGACCCTAAACCCTAAACCCTAAACCCTAAACCCTTCCTGAACCACATGAACTTTTCGGGCAAGGAGTTTCCTCTGTATATGGAGGTGCCTGGTTCCAGACCTACAAGCCCTAAAGACAAAACCCCTAAACCCTAAACCCTAAAACTTAAACTTCCTAAACCCTAAACCCTAAAGCCCTAAAGACTAAACCCCTAAACCCGAAACCCTGAAACTTAAACTTCCTAAACCCTAAACCCTAAAGCCCTAAAGACTAAACCCCCCAAAAACATGACGGAGCCGAATGCAGAACGGTGGCCTCGGAGTCGCAGGCCTGCGTAGCATATTGTTCCGCATCCTCCATCTCCTAGAGGCTGGGTTGCTCTTTATTACCTTGCTAAAATTATAACTTTTAGAACCCCTAGTATCAAAAAAGGCTAATCCTAAAAGTGATAAAACTATAAAGTGACTGTAAAGTTCAACCAAGGAGGGTAAGGGCTTTTTCACTTGAAGGTAGGTTTAGGGCCTATAGGGTTTAGGTTTAGGGTTTGGGGTTTAGGGTTTGGGGTTTAGGACTTAGGGTTTAGGTTTAGCGTTTAGGGTTTGGGGTTTAGGGTGTAGGGTTTAGGGTTTAGCAAGCTACTTCCACATGTGCGAGACCAGACTCTGCCCATTGAGACTACGACGGTACTAGTACTAGTACTAGTACTAGTACTGGTACTAGTACTAGTACTAGTACTACAACTACTACTACAACTACTACTACTACTACTACTACTACTACTACTACTACTGCTACTACTACCACCACCACCGCCAGTACTACATTTGTTTCTGCTGTTGTTACTGCCACTGCCTCTGCCACTGCTGCTGCTGCTGCTGCCACTGCAGCGACTGCGATTACGACTACGAATTTCTGCAGTTTCGCACGTCAACAGTATCCCGCGTCACAGTGTAAGTACTTGTTAACTGGAAAGGCGCAACAGGCACAACAGCATAGAAAGTACTCGTGCTTGATGATGAAAGCAAACTCGATATGTTACAAGTGCGATTCGGACATATCACAAGAGAAAGCTCAAGACCAGAAGCAGCCCAAACCCAGAAACCGAGTAGCATCGAAATTGCATTCTTTGTCCCAAGCATCCGCTTCACAGTCTGGTTGATATTCTGCATAAAACTCTTGACTGAAGCTGTGGCTTGCCGGAAGGTTAACCCTGACGAGAGTAAATCTGCAGCCCCGAATTCCGTCAGGCAGACTCCCAGCCCTAAACCCTAAACCCTAAACCCCAGCTCCTTCTTCAAAACATTGAGAACATCCCGGCCCTGGCCGGGTATTTTGGTGCCCTGCTCTGCCAGCATCTCGGTCAACACGCATAGGAACCTAGTTCATGATTGGGGTAGTATTAAAAAATTTCAATTTATATTCCTTATTGGGTTTAAGTACCCTTAAAAAT